AAAATGCGTTGAATTGGAATTACATATTTTGACGATAATGATATATGAATAATCTGCTTAAAAATATGCAATTTAAACCCGCTGTATGCCAGAAGATTATCGAACAATCTGTCGAATAAAAGTAAGACTAGAATTTTATTTCCTAAGTTATTATCATTTTATTTCTCATTCTAGCGTTATCTTATTTATACTTTTGTGTTCTACGTCTATATATCGCGCACATTAAAAATGTGTTTGTTACATTTGTTGTGTTGAGAGATATATCGGGCTTTAGTGTCTCAATGCCAATTTTTCCGAACGTTCAATAGGACTACATGTTTTTACTGAATAAAAGTATAATAATTTTAAAAATATTGAAAGTTTGTTGTAGATGCAAAAGACACAAGTGCAAGTTCGAGTTTCAAAAGTTATCATTTGTACTTTAGCGATTAAGCTAATATAACGCTTTCATGTAAACTACCAAATATAATTAATAGCATTTGAAGCGGATTTTAATGATTAAGATTTACGAGCGGAAATAATTTTAAAACTAAAGGGTCAATCTTGTCCGTTTATTCCACATTGTACTCCAAATCCGAACGAAATATATAGGAAGTTAAGGGGACAGTCAAACAGTGGAGAGTCAAATGGCTGAAAAATCGTGTTTATTTTTGGTAATATTTTGTGACGAACTGAATAAATGTGCAAGGATGAAAATTTTAGGTATATTTATACAACATATGAAGAGTAGAAAAATTTTATTTATTAACAAATACTTATATAAATATACGTCCATTTAAATTTTAAACGCATTTTTCTCGAAATTTTATTGTTCAACTTTTTGCAATGATTTCTCCGAAATTGAGCTTCGTATCGATTTGAAATTTTAAAGCAATAATATTTGTTCATCTAGCTCTCAGATGAACCATAGACAATTACGTCAAAATATTTTCTTTCGAGATATTAACTTTTTTATTGTAAAAAAACTGAAAAATTTGGATTTTTTTCTAATAATAGCTGCCATTTTGTTAATTTTGTTCGATTTTTTTTTATAATGGTTCATCGAATAATGATAAGCCTCTTCAAAATTTCCAGCTAAAATTTGCTTTGATCGGACCATCGAGAGCCGAGATATTACTGCAAAAACGACAACTTGAAAAAAAAAGGAGAATACATTTCAGCTATATATATCGCATATTTATATGAGTATTTATTAATAAACAAAATTTTTCTACTCTTCATATGTTGTATAAATATACCTAAAATTTTCATCCTTGCACATTTATTCAGTTCGTCACAAAATATTATCAAAAACAGATACGATTTTTCAGCCATCTGACTCTCCAGTCCCCTTAAGTAAAGTTCTAGGTGCACCATTGGGTTTAACCAACCGAAAATATATTTAGATCTGTTGAGGCATACAGGAATTTCAAGAACGATGACGTCTTTTACCGTAATAAGTTTCTGATTGTCTTTAAAGACGTTTAAGGAATTTATTGGACTTATATAATGAACTGGTTAATAACAACATACTATGACGTCCTTGATAGAAGACTTGCGAGATTGGATTTTTGAAGAATATTATTAATAGAATAAGTCAAAAATATACATCATAGGTAATATTTTAGAACAGTTATTCAATCGTTGTAGCTTTCGAAGGCAGCCAATGTAGGAGATTTGTTGCCTTACTTTACACGACAAATTCCAAACAAAAATTAAACTAATTAATTTGCCCTTTCATACCACCAACAGCCTGTGTATACAATTATAATATCAGTTTGATCACATCATTATAAAAATAACATAAAAGCTGATGTGCAATATGTTAGGTAATATAGACAGATTTACTTCAATGAATAAATTCTACGTTTTTAAAATAAAGCATAAATAAACATTCTACATTTTTTTAAATAAAAGAAGCATTGAATTAGAGTTATATTTTCTCACTATAATAATACCTGAACAATCCTTTTAAAAATATTCATTTGTTTATGTTTTATTATATTTGTTGTATTGAGAGTCACTTCGAATTTCCGTCTCTCAATGCCGATATTTTCAAACATTCAATAAGACTTTGTGCTTTCATTGAAAAAAAAAATAAAAAGACTTAATAATCTGCCAAACGTTGAAAGATTACTTAACAGTTGGGAAATTGTTTGTTATCAAAGGTACATAAAATTGTACACCAGAACAGACAGAGGTTCTCTTTTCCTTTTTGCTTGGTGCAAGACATTATAATATTTAAATTATATGGAGTTAGGAGTACCCCTTAAATATACACACAATTCATTCTTGATGTACACTTCCCTCTTATTAGAGGGGGTGAGAGGGAGAGAAAGAGAGAAAAGAAATTTGCTCAAGTCAAGTTCAATGAGAGAAAAACGTAATTGAAATAACACGTCTTGCGGCTGTTACGGTAATTTTCGTGCGCCTGCCATCTTCGATTTTCCGATAATTGCTGCATAATAGCACCTATACAACTTTCAGACACTTTAAAGTGGTCTAAAAAGGTGTTGGAAAAAAAGGGACAACAAGAGAGAACATTTCTCGTCAGCGAGGGACTTTCGCCTCCTTCCAGGAGTTTGTGAAAGCGGGTCGATCGCGAGCCATTAAAGGAGCTCGACGATTAATTTAAATAAATGCGCCACCATTATAACCGTGGAACACACTTACCTTATCTGTGAACGATGGTGGATATTCAAATACGGATCTCTTCGCCGAAAAGTCACGAAGTACTAATCTCTCGTGACGGATCGCGGGATTTCCCTTTGAAATATTCCGGCGAAGAACCATGGAGGTAATTTAATTTCGAGCTTACGTAGTCCGTTGTCTCGACAACGTGAGTCAATATCAACTTGACTGGCTTGGAAATAGTCGAGTGACTCGGTAAAGAAAGAAAAAAGTTCCGTGTATTTCAAAACATTCTCCTTAATAAAATATGCACTAAAATAGAATTATAACATTTTGCCCATGACAAATAACAATATACGTGTTTATTTCTTACGTATGTTATACGAAAGGTTGGGGTAAAAAGATGAGACAACAAACAAAGTTGCGGAGAGATGCACGTCAAAAAATTGGTATATAATAACAAATATATATATATATATATATATATATACATATATATATATATATATATATATATAACATATACGCGTGTATACATCAACTTTGTTTTCCCTAACCTAACCCAAATCGTCGAAATCAGATTCGGACGACCGTTTACATAATATGTGTATGTGTGTGTGTGTGTGTGTGTGTGTGTGTGTGTGTATGCGTGCGTGTGTATGTATATGTGTGTAATATATATATTTATATATCGTAATATATTATATTTATAATATATATTAACATTTTGCATCTTTTACGTAGACTTCCTTGTATGCTTAAAGCTACCGCATTTTAAATTACAAAAAATCGGTTGCCCTAAAACCCGCTTCAGACCTTCGCACCTTCCGCTTCGAATTGGACGTTTTCTTCCTGTTCGTTTAAGTACGCTGGAGAATGTTATCCTAAATCTAAGTTTATTCTAATCGCTTTGACTTGTAAATACATATTGAAAAAACATCGGAAAACATTTCAAAACGGTTCGTCGCACACAAAAATTCGAATTCTATCAAATTCTGGGACGAATAACCCTTTCATGGTATATGGCCGAATGTGTTAAATAGAGTTTTCGCAGTATGATACATATCGATAACGATAAATCTAGAAGTCCTGATCGTTTCTCTTTCTCATCGATCTCGACTCGTCTCGCGAGTTGCTCGAGAAAGTGTCCCGAGCTGTTCCATCCCTCAGGAAAGGGGCTCGAGGGTGCGGCAAGCTCGTAATTTGTAAGCTATCTCCCTTATAAATGACGACTCGGCACGGGTCCTCTTGCAAATGCTCGCGGACCTATTTCGTCCTATTGCTGTGGCACCTCTCGCGTTTAACATTCTACAACTCGGTTAACACAGTTAAGATAGCTCGCGACGCCGAAGGCGCACGACTAAGCAGTTAACACCGCACGTAAAACTGTATTAACGCAAGTGAGGAGGTACCACGAAGTTCGTCTCCTTACCACACTTAACACTACAATCGTGTTAATCCCTCGTTCAAGAGATCCGGAAGGTCTACGCAAACCCACTTTACCGATAGCGCTTATCCCATAAGTGATAAACTCAAAGGGTAACACCAGGGAGGGATGTAAAAGAACAGAGTGAGAGAGAGAGAGAAAGAGAGAGAGAGAGAGAGGGAGGGGGGAGAAAGAGAGAGAAGTACGATACGTGACGCCGTAAATATGGGAACCATTTGGTTTAAAGTCGTACATACGTTCGCTCGTGAGAAAGAGAAGATTTTTCGCGGACATGGATGATTCGCGTGGCAGTCGATTCTCGTCTCGCGGTGGGAGCTGCGCGACGAAGGAACTTCTACGACGAGGGGTGAGGACGCGTGTCCGTCTCTTTTTCCCCGTCCGGATCGCTACTAGCGCAAGAAACACGTAGTTTAAGGTACGAGCTTGTCTCATGACAGCGCCGGCGCCGAGCGGTCGTTAGTCTTCGTCTTTCGCAGCTTCACAGTCGCGAATATGTTAGTCCTGAAAGGCGTTAATCGTGGTTAATCGGGGTGGCAGAGGGTTGCTCGGGGTAGATCCACAGTTGCTGAACTGTCGCGTACAAACTCTGGAATTTCGAGCAAACCAAATATCGGGGAGCGACAACAGGGTAGGCGAAGGGGGGGATGACTCTCTTCGAAAAAACACCGTGAAAACGCCTCGTTAATATCTTGTACTTTAGTACTTAGTTCGGGAGTAATTCTTTTGGAGTCATTTACGTGGATTAAAAACGTTACATCGAACGCGTTCGGGGATCGAGAGTGCGTGAGACTGAATTCAAGCGTCTGCTCAAATCCTAGCTTCCTAAGTCCTAAGTATATAAAGAAAAAGACACGTGCGGTTTCTGTCGAGCCAGTCTGCAATACACAATCAAAGCGACCGATAAAAGTTAAAAATGGCAAGAGTCCGGAAGAGTTGCGAGCGGTTTAACAAACGGTTTTTTTATTACGCCAGCAAAATAGCGAAACAGAAAGAGAGAGAGGGAGAGAGAGAGAGAGAGAGAGAGAGAGAGAGAGAGAGAGAGAGAGAGAGAGCTAAATACATGCAGCATATAGTATACAACGACACGCTGTTCACGACCGATGGGATGATGCATCGTCCAACATGGTTGCTCGCTCTGTCTCTGTAGCGGAGATAAGATGCCTAGAAGTCGTCGCAAAAGTGTATCGAGCGCTTTCTTCGACGATGCTGCAAGCTCCTACAACATCAACAGCCGATCGTTGAAGACGAGACTAAGCAACGGGCAGGTGCGTCAGCCAGTGCGAAACACACATCAAAACTGAAGGGGGTGCGAAGTCGTTCATTCACATACCTATTCGGTGGCTACGGAAAGACTTGGGATGAACAAGCTGGTCGCGCGGAAGAACCCAAAGGGGTTGGGGGTGAGAGTAAATGTAAACGATCGCGCGAGCTCGGGGAGTTTCCTCGACGACTCAAAACGGTACTCGCCGATTTGAATGATTCATGCTCGATTACGAGGTTAACCAAAGTGAGTGAGCAACCAAATCGAAAGAAAGGAAAAGACAAGAAAACTCAAAATAAAAGCGCAAACAAAGCGGACCGCCGCCTCGCCGCCTTCCACGCTTTCTTCATCTTCTTCATGAGCGCGCCTGTCGTCGTCTGGTTCTCCCTCTTCCTCTTCTTCCTCTTGAGAGAAAAAGTTTCTGATTCTCTCTTTCTCCATTTCTATTCCATTTCTCGCTTTCCTCAATTTTCTCATTCTCTCTGCTTAACGTGTTCGTCTCTCAACTTCGACATCCACTCGCGACTCGTTTATACTCTTCACAATCACCTCCCCTTACATCAGTTCGTGTCTCAGCTCTCCTTATTGCTGCTTCTTCTTCTTCTTCTTATTGACGGACGCGTCGACGCCCCAGAGGTCGTACCAGGGCCCGCAGGTGTTCCTATCTCGGTCAGAGTCCCGTCTGAGTTTGGTCCTCGGCAACAACGTTTTCTCCGGCACGCTCTGATCCTTGACGACGATGCAGCTGTACGTGGACTCCTCGTCGGAGGCCTCGGTCTCGCTGAAGTTGAGCGTAGCGTCCTCCTCGTCGTCGTAATTCCTCCTGCCACGCGTCAGCATTTCGTTGCGCTTGCTCTCGTTGTTCTCCTTCAGTTCGGCCACGATCATATTCCGTTTGGCCTCGAGGCTACGTCTGCGCTCCTTCTCGATAATCGCCTTCCGCGACACGTTGCCGATGAAGTAGGTGCGCTCCTCCGGCTGCTGTTGCTGCTGCTGTATTCTATACTCGGATCTTTCCAAGACCTTCGGCCGCTCCGCCGGCGTCGGAAAATCCTCGAAGTAGTCCGCCTTGTCCGGCACGTGGCTTCTCTCGGCTGGCTTGGGCTCTTCGTGCCGATGGTGCTCGTTCGTAATGGTACCCTCGCTGTTACCCAAACTCGAACTCGGACTCCCGCCCTCCGAGTTCCTCTGCTTCTCCTCAATCTCCGTCGACTTGTTCTCCTTGCGTATCATCTTCGGGATGTCGACGAGCGAGCGATGTTGCCAGAGCGCCATACCTTCCAGCACCTCGGAGTCCCGGCGGAATTTCCAAAAGGACTTGGTACGCTTGACCAGCTTCGGACTCTTCGAGCCTTCCTCGAAGGCTCTGCCAGTCTGCACGAGGTGACCCATGGCGGTCGTCTGTCGCGGCATCAGCAGCTTCCTCTCGGCCTTCAGCGTGTTGTTGTTCGTGTCGCCGTTGTTGCGTTCGTTGCCTCTCGACGGGACGTTGCGCTTCTGAAGACCTGCTGCAGGCTCATGCAGTCCCGTGTGGTAACCGTGTCTCTCGATCACCTTCGACCTCTCCAGTTTCGTCTCGAAGTTTGACTCGTAGCCACGATCCCTCTCCAGCGAGCCTATTCCATATCGCCCAGTCTCTCCGTAAATCGCCTCCTCTTTGTCGGAGTACCTGCGCTCTCGGTAAGGACCTACCGGCCGCTCCGGGGCCTCCTGCGACGGCGGTCGCGGTCGCTCGAAGCGTCGACTCGACAGTCGCTCGACCGTTCTGTTTCGATTCTTTTCGAACGTCCGCTCGTAACCCATCACCTCCTTCCGCTGCTCCAGATACGCGCGCTCCTGCTCGTGCCTGGCAGCGCGGCTTCGCTGCTCATACGACTGAGCTTCCTCGCGGGACCGCTGGAAGCTCTGCTGCTTGTCTTCCCTCGAGCGCTCGAAATTCTGTTTCTCCTCGTCGCGAGAGCGCTGGAAGCTCTGCTTGTCCTCCCGCGAGCGCTCCATGTTCGACTTGTCCTCCCGCGAGCGCTCGAAGCTCTGCTTCTCCTCCGTTCGAGAGCTTCGTTCGAAAGCTTGCTTGTCCTCGCGAGGGCCGCGCTCCAGCGAATGCCTGTCGTCTCGCGGCCGCTTCTCGTCGCGTAGCCGCTTGTCGTCGCGGCTGCGCTCCGCGAAAGCCCGCTGGCCTCCACCGCCTCCGCCCTCACGGCCGCGCTCCAAGCTCTTGTACTCCGTCGTCATCGGCGGCATCCTCTCACGGCGCGAGTGTACCGCCGGCTCGCGCACGTTCCTCTCCAGGCTTTTGTAGTCGCTCGCGCTTGCTCGGTCGCGACGCTCCAGGAACTTGGGCGGGCTGTGCTCGCGCGCGTACTTCTGAGCAGTCTGCTCGAGCTTCTGCGCGATATGCTCGACCTTGCGACCCGGCTCCGGGATGGTGATGGTGCTCTCGTCGTCGGACTCTGACGGCGAGCTCGACGACTTGGCGTACTTGTCAGCCTCAAAGTCGTCTCCACCGCCTCGCCGATCTTGTTGGGCCTCTTGGTTGTTCGCGTAGAACTTATTGCCGCGATACTCGGCCGCACCGAAGTCCTCCTCGTCCTCCTCGAGGTCGTCCTCCTCGGTCTCCGCCTGCGTGCGCTTGTCGACACGGCGTTGATCGCCGCGCCGAGTTGCAGCCGGAACACCCCGCTCGTTCGACATCTTGCTGGTAGTGCGCTGATTCGGGCTGGGTCGTTCATTCGTCGGCTGCGCTGCTTTCTTGCTCTTCCTCTTCTTCGCCATATCGCCGTTCTCCAGCACAAAGTCGCCGTTCTCCATCTCATAGTACTTCTTGGACTCCTCGCCGGTCTGATTCGCCTTCGACTCCGCCCAGAGGTCCATCGCGGTGCGATACAGCTGCCAGGATTTCTCGTCCCGCGGAATCGTCTTCCAGGAGTCGTTCTCCCAGTCCTTCGACTGCTGCTGCTGCTGCTGCTGCTGCTGCTGCTGCTGCTGCTGTTGCTGCTTCTCGTCCTTTGAAGGAGCGCGTTCACCTCTGCCACGCGGCTTCCGGCGTCGTTGTCTGCGTGCGCGGCGCGGTGAATAAAATAAAGAAAAAAGAAGAGGCAGGAGGAAGGTTGGGAGGACGAGAGAAGTCGGAGGAGATCGGGTGGAGGCCGGAGAAGATGCGAAGGACCACCACCATGGCGGTTTATTTCCAGCGACCACGATAGCGCATGCGGTATCTACAAGAAGGAGAGATACAACTTCGAAGAAACGGGGATAAATAGTCTTTTTCGTGTGGGAGATGTGGATACGGCCGGTTTTAATTCAGAACATTTTCTCAACCGAGGGATTAAAGATTTGTTCAAGCTTAATTTCCGGCCAGTTTTAATTCAGAACATTTTCTCAACCGAGAGATTAAAGATTTGTTCAAGCTTAATTTTCAATCTAGAAAGTTGCAAAAAATCAAACAAGATCATAGATAACACAATGTCGAAATAATTATTAGGCACGTTGCGAAGCAAGACTGCGAGATGAAATTGCAAAAAAGAAACAAATATGTCGAGATAAAAAAATAGAGACGTTATCAAACATGACGGGGGATAAAATGCTGCAATCTTGGTCAGCGCTCATTTTTCTTCTGAGCTAAGGGAGGGGATGAAGTAAAAGGGATGATATAATCGTACTACTGAAAATCCAATTTGAGGACTGCCAAGTCAGACTTACCATGCCATTCGTATCGATCCTACCGCACCGTACCAATCTTGTTACAAATTTCACGGAATTGCTATTAACAATGGACCGTCGGAAAAAAAACAGTTACGCTACGCCCAAAAAACAATATTTTATTTGTAAAGTGATTTTTCCCATAGTCTCATATTCTAGCGAAGCTCATATCTAGCGAAGCCTTTTGCAGAAAAAGGATTCCTCTTTCGATAAAACGATTAAAATGAACCATTCGTCTAAAATTTATTAGATATTATTCTAACTATTTTCCTTTTATTTCAAGAGAATTTTTTTTTATATCAATTAATTTTCCTCTTATGTGAAGAAGAAATGTCGGCTTCTTTTGTTCAATCATGCTCTAAGTGTCCTCCAGACGTGAACGAAAAAATAACCATATGCTCATAGAATATTAGGAACGCTTTTTAAAAAAAGTATGTTGCTGTAACATATAACGAAGATAATTTACCCATACTTGGTCAAATACAATTTATAATCTATTGCAAGAAGTTGAATAATATTCTTTCTAATATATTCTTTTTTTTAATTATGTTTCATATAGTTGATTATGATGAACATCTTTGTAGCTACGAGGTCCAAAGGTAACAAAACTGATTGAAAATTATTTGTTATGATAATCTTATTTCATTCGTGCCTACTTATTGTAGAACTAGAACCAGAAGTATATATATATATATATATATATATATATATATTACTTTTTGCTATATATTATAATAATTTTTTTTCAAATTAACTAGTATAACCAGTAAGAATAAAGTATAGTAAGTATAGTAATCCTCTTTAAAAAAAAATTAAGTAATTTGTGTATAAGAGGAGATTTATATTAAAATCAATAAGATTTGCATTATACATATATAACGTATAATTCCTCTTACTTTAAAAATAATGTATTTATAATATTTTCCCTTGAATCTTACAATTAGAGGAATCCTTTTGAGGCCATGTATAAGAATAAAATCCTTTAAAATTTAGGTGATTTCGCTTGTTCTAAAATTATTTTGTTTTTGCTATATATTGCTATGTATTATCAAGTTCTACGTTTAAATTTCACGATAACCACCCAACCTGCCTATGATAAAATCTTATTTTCCGCGAAATATCAGCCATGTATGCGTATCGTACAACGAGCAACGTCGGGAGCAAGTTAAGTAGACACGTAAATCGCATATTTCGTTATTATGGCAATCCGATTCTGCGTCATCCGAAATTAATTACAGCGGCGCACACCATACGCCACGCAGAGGCCATCCGCGCGCGCGACAAAACCCACGTGTGTCTACGCGGTACAATCCACCACCCTCGAATCTTTATTTCCCACAATAGCTTCACAAACCAATCCAATTGAGTACGTGGGTGGGTGGGTGGGGGGAGAGTGAGCGACAGGGAGGTGCAGATCGTACTAATTACAGGGGGACAGCAGACAGCAGAATAGCGAAGCCGCGATGCGATGATACAAAGCTTCAATCGCGCTGAATAGGGCAAAGCGGGGGTGCGCGCTTATCGGCTGGTTATCAGGGCGTAATATCGAGGGCGGGGGGAGGAGAGCAAAGGTATCAAAGGGCCGAAAGAGCCCAAGTACCGAGTAATAAGTGATTCGCTCGGATGTCTGCGGATGCACAATGATAGTCTACATTTCTACCAAGTGCAAACCGGAACTTGGAAAGCGGTGTAATTCCGTGACGACCGATCTCTCCATTGTCGCGAGCACAGACGAATAAAAGTTTCACGTTGCAGTCGTAATGGATAATCGTAGCGATAGAGGATAGTTTTCCCTCGGCTTATCTCTTTGTGATTTGAATTCAGCGAAATTACACCGGTTTTTATCCTCGTCGTATAAGCTACGTAAACTAAATAAATTCTCCCTTGATATATTTATAATATATCTTTCTATAATATATATATGATAAATTTAAAATTTATATGTATTTTCCGTAATTTAAATTTATACTAATTAGACAACATGTCATTTCTACTTTACATCATCTTTCAAATATCGCTAAGATAAAACTTTAGAATAGGGCCTTTTCCGAATTTTGATATATTTTTGCTACTTGCTGGATAAAAATCGTTGTTGTGACTACGATAATGATAATCAATAGAGGAAGCCCAAACAAAATGTTACTGACTTATTTTTTTCTAGTTTTTTCGGATCTTATAAAACTCTGAAAGAAAAATGCACCAAATTTAAACTATTGCGTAAAAATATAAAAAACTCAATAAACTTTAATAAACTAAAGACATAAACTATTCTCCACTATAATTTAGACTTTATAATATAAATTTGTGCTTTGGATTAAAGCAGAGCATGATTGTAAATAATGCTCTGCTTTATTTTGCTTATAATTTATGATTACGTCCTACCTTGCGCAGATCTTGCTAATCTTTTCAGTATTCATTTTTAATATATCGTAGACTCATTTGTTTAGTAAGGCGAAAGATTCGAGTAACAACTGTGAACGGTATTTAATCAGTATAAAATCGATATTTAAAATTTTAAATATATAGAATAAAATTTTCGTGTTTTTCCTATAAAGATCTTAACCCCTTTCCTTCTTCCTTAATATATATGTAAAACTTTGTATACATGTTTTATAATAGCTATTTATAATAGCTAGTTTTGTAAATTACTGAACAAGAAAACGTAGTTTTTGGTATAATAGTACTTTTGAATATTTACCAAAAAAATAGTTCAAAAAATAAATGGGTAACATTTCTTTCGGGCTCCCCCGATTGATTATCACTGTCGGAATCACACCAAAGAGTTTTATCATGAGAGTAGCAAATAAATATCAAAATTCGGAAAACCTATTCTAAAGTTTTACCATCGCTAAATTTCAATATCTACGGACCACACAACAAGAGATAATAACGTTTTTCCTTTTATGTGTATAAACCAGCGACAAAATTGCGACTCCCCCCTCGCATAGTTTACATAGTTTACACGCAGATATTCCGAGCGAATATGTCTCACACGTAGGAGGAGCAAACGTAGTTTACAGCCCGCGGCGCGCACCTTAGACTTACCTCATCGCTTCGTCGTCGCTGTAATCTACGTCAGGCTGCACAGGCGGTTCGTTGGAGAAACCACTGTCGTTGCTGCTATGGAGGGACGTCATCGCCGGCGGTGGTACTGGAGGTACGGGCGGCTGTACTCGACGTCCTCCGGCCAGCACCGCGGGCAGTGTGCCCGATGGACGGATCTGAAAGCCAAGATGTAAGGTTGTCTCTCACGTCTCGCCTCCTCAAAGTTTCCCCCTAATCAATCTCGGGGACTGCGATGTGCGCGCTGTTGCGACAGTGCCGCGCGGAACTTTGCACCAAGTTCCGCGCGCGAGAGAGCGTCTCGAGACAATGTCGATTACGAAGGTATCGAGAGCAATCACTGAGTCATCTGATTAATTAGCGCGAGAAGAGACGACTCATTGCTCGATGGCGCGACTCTTCAGAATCCACCATAATCGAAACGTTTCTCGTCAAACGTTTCTCCGCTGCAGAGAGAACTTCCATTTCCAGTTCCACACGGAAAGAAAAGACTGGTTGAATGATGAAGGAGATCCTGCCGCGCAAGATCGAGAAATTCTTCGGCCAAAGTGCACTCGCTTTGTCGCTCATTGTCACGTCAATTCGTGCAATCTTTCTCTCCCCCCCCCCCTTTCCCCCGTGTACGTTCAACGGGTCTTTGTAATCTTCTGGACGTTATCAGCAACATTCATCAATCTGCGGGCTTACCGATTTCGATTGGCGCGCGGTCGGAGTCGCCAAGACGCTCGGATTATTGGTCGGCGTGCCGACGGTGCTGCCATTGTTGTTACTGCCGGCGTTGTTGGTGCTGTTGCTGCTGTTGTTGTTGCTGATGGAACTGTTGCCGGCAGCGGGAGTCCCCGTAGACGGCTCGTCGATACCAGCCGGCGTGACCGGCGGTCGTGAGGGCGGTGGTTTGCACGGCGGAATGGCCTGCGGCTCCGGTGTACGACCGTTGCTCGCTCCATGACTCGGCGATCTTCGGCACGATCGAATAACGCATTCGTTTACATCATTTCAACGGTCCGCCCGTCGCACTCGCGATTCCGCGAGGTGCGGTCTCACAAATGTTTTCTAAAGGCGGATTCATACCTGGGCAGAAAAGCAGAAAGCAAAAAAGGCAGCATCCAGTCAAAAATCGCGTTGATAGTCTGTCTCTCTCTCTCTCTCTCTCTCTCAAAAGAGAGACAGACTACCAGCACGATTTCTGATTGGCTGCTGCTTTTCTGCTTTCTGTTTTTCTGCCAAGGTGTGAATTCTCCTTATAGGCGGATTCACATCTAAGCAGGAAAGCAGAAGGCAGAAAGGTAGCATCCAATCGGAAGTCACGCTGATAGTCTGTCTCTCTTTTCTATCTCTCTCTCAAGAGAGAAACAAACTATCAGTGCGACTTCTGATTGGCTGCTGCCTTTCTGCTTTTTACTTTTCTGTCAAGATGTGAATTCTCCTTGAGGGAAGACAGCCAATCACAAGTGGCGCTGATAGTTTGTCCTTCTCTTCTATCTGTCTCTTTCTTTCTCTCTCTCTCTCTCTCTCTCTCTCTCTCTCTCAAGAGAAGGACAGACTACCAGCGCGACTTCTGATTGGCTGCTGCCTTTCTACTTTCTGACTTTCGGCCGAGGTGTGAATTCTCTTCCAGGATCTTGGCAGAAAGGCAGAAAGCAGAAGCCAAGAGAGTGACAGGGAGAGAGAGAGAGAGAGAGAGAGAGATTATCAGCGCGACTTCTGACTGGATGCTGCCTCTCTGCTCTCTGCTTTTCTGCCAAGGTGTGAATCCGCCCTAATGACCATTCTACAATAAGCTATTAGTCATAACACATAAGAAAATAAACCAATCAAAATCCTCCAATCTATAAATGAAGAATCCCGATTGGTTTATTTTCTTATGTTTTATAACTAATAGCTTATTGTAGGATTGCCATTATACTTATTCCCGCGAGGGCGAGTCACTACACGTCGCTATTATAAAACCTTTGCTGCACATTCGCGCCGGCTACATTCGACGTCTGGCGTGAACAACAGGCCAGACGATCGACCGTTGTTACGCAGAAAATAAATTTGCGTTGCACGCTTTTCGGCAAAATAATTTACGCGCAATATAGCCGGAGGATAAAGCAAATAATGAGAGTTGCCGATGAAGCATTAATTGACGCCTAACGAAACACATGGCGCGGAGAGGCAGATAATAATATTCCGTGTTTCATGGATAATAATCTGTGAGGGACATTAACATTAAATTCCATTAAGGGATTGAATGTTTTCGCCGACTTTCGGACGCACGATATTTGCGCGAGGTAATCGGAGGGCACGAGGGGGTTAATAACGAGTGATCGTAAACGCGGAATTTCGATATTACCGCACTTGAGGTCGGGCAAGGTTTACTCACCCCAAAGTGTCGTCGATTATAATTTCGGTATACGCCAGGGGAAACCACCCCGAGCTTTGAGTGCGGAGGTTCTCGCCAAATTGCCATCCCTTCTGCCGGTCGCCTGATAAAAAAGAATAGAGTATGCAAATCTAAAACTCTGCGTATATATTCTGACTAACATTCTCCTTCCACGCAAGCTCCCCCCCTTTCGTTAACGTTTCCGGCCCGCAACGCGGGGTAATCTGTTCTCGCTTTATCGAGTCCCTCGTCTTTATCTGGGGGCGCAAAAAAAAGAAATAAAACCTTACTAATGTCGATAAAACCGTCCTAATTAAACGCTTTTACTCCCCACCTGTGTATTTTCTATTTCCTTCCTCCCTCTGTCCCATAAAAAAAAGATTACGTCTATGGCGGCCCGGTGCGGTCTCACAGTGCAACGGCCTCTCGATCCTGAGGGCGATACCGTCGCCGGGTATATCGACGAACAGACGCGAGATCAAACTCACCCATCAGCGCGATGAGATCACCCTCCAGGAAGCTCAGCTGATTCTCCCCCGAGCTGAGGTAGGCGAAGAGAGCCCTGGCGAGGGGTGCATCTCCCCAACCTCCTGCGCTGACCCCGGTGCCGCCGCCGCCGCCGCCGCTGTTGCGAGACGCGGGGGGCGCCATGGATCGAGGCCGGGGTGGGGTCTCTGGAACCTCTGGAAAGCAAAAGCGCGTTGTAACTGACCGAGCCGGCGTAGCACATGACGTGGGAGGGAGGGAGGGAGGAGCAGGGATGAGAGAATGAGTTTGGGATAATGCGGGGGTAGTTTCGGGGTAAACCAGCGCAATTAGGTCAGCGGACGATAGCGGCGGTCGGGCTGGAGGACGTCGGAACGCGAAGGACGGATGGGCATCATCCCCGAAGGGACACGGAGAATGGACGTAGAAAAAGGGAGGTGAAGCTCCTCCCGCGCGTATTCGCGATTTGCGGAGAATCGTTCAGATATATCGGCGTCGCGCGTTATTAATGTCGCGTGCGAGCGCGCGATCAGGTCGTTTGTAAGTTGCGGTAAATTAATTCGATGCGAATTCGTGCGCGAATATTAAACGCCGCAACAATGGCGGCGTCGCGTTCACGCGTCCGCGCGACGTGATTATCGACGTTGAATTAATTGCGCAGGCACAGGCGAGATTAATTAAAGCTTTAATTCGCCGTCGTAACAAATGTAACGGAGATATTTGCATTGTACCGCTCCTCCTCGCTCGCGCCTGTTTGCGGCATGGATATGCGCAAAATAAGTCGATATAAACGCCGCGCGAAATATTTACCGCGCAATGTCATTACCGCGCGCACACGGAAGTTTCACTCTCTCCCTCTCGCTCTCCCCCTCTCGCTCTCTCTCTCTCTCTCTCTCTCTCTCTCTCTCTCTCTCTCTCTCTCTCTCTCTCTCTTCCCGCTTTTTAGTAGCAGTTTCGTGCGTATTTCCTGCTCCTTTGTGATTCCCCTCTTCCCCCGCTGTTTCCCCAGCTTTTTTCCCCGCACTTTCGACTCGCGCGCGCGCAGATATTCCGCGCTCTTTAAGCGCGCAAAATGCGACACAGAGCAGCTGAAAAAGAGAACGAAAGGAAAAGAGAGGGACACGAGGGCCGTGAGACTCGTCATAGAGCTTACCCGTGTAATGATGGGCGTGATGGAGCAGCGTGACACGTGACACGCGACACCGCGACGATGAAATACGGGCTCGCGTCGCGTTGCACAAACGAAAGCATATTCCGGTTTTATTGCGCGCGCGAGGCCCCAGCTCGGTCCGGGACACGGTGAAAGTGGCAGCTTCGGCGCGCGACGCGACATGACGCGACGCGACGGAGAGTCCGCGGAATACGATCGCCGGCTGAAATTTATACGACCGGCACGACAGTACTCGCGAAAAGGCAGTGGAAACGTCAGCGTGAAACGCTTCATCTCGCCACCACGATTTTTCTCGATCACGCTGGACGCCGGTCCTCCCCCCCCTTTCCCCCTCCTCTCCTCACTGCCTCTCCCCGCTGGTGGTCCCGCGCCAATCTGTTATTGTTGCGTTGTCGTTGTTGTTGCGCGTAGTGCGGTGTGACGGACGAGCGCGATCCAACGACGCGTAATTCTAGTTTAAAGATACCCTTCGCTCTCGTACGCGAGCGAGCGAGCGAGCGCGCGACGACACGCGCGTTTACGGTCGGCGGTTTTAATTGCGAAATAAATCTACGCCGACCGATCGCGCCGGCGCGGCCGACTAAGCGGCCGGTCGTAAAACGACGTCCGCGATGTAATAACGATCGACTTAATCGTTCGTAGGACAATTACAGGATTATTCGGCCGGATAAGTTCGGCTGTTCCCTCGGTCCGGCTCAGTTCAATTTAGTTTAGCGGGGGATTGCTTTAGTTCACTACTTCGGTTTACGCTACCATGCTCAATGCAAGGCGAGCGTTAATAAGGGTGCGGCGACGGCGACAACGCACAGTGGGGCCAGATGACATTTTTTTATTCAAAATTCTCTAGAGACCTGAATTTCCAACCCGATCATCGACACCAATGGATAAGGTTGATCCTGAATAAATTCCAAAGAGATCTGTCTAGCCGAAATTTTGAAAACATTATCGGTTCAGGGTTCATGGGTTTAGGGTTTGTCTTAAAAGTTTCGAGGCTCGAACTTAATATTTTATAGCTGAATATTCAACGTCGAGTATTATTAGGTTCTCGAGCTATGGCTAGATTGGGTTCTTGGACTATTTAAGGTTCTTAATATATACGGCTTCATGCATCCACGAGCTAAAAAAGTTCTCGGATTGATAGATTCCTAGGTTGATGAGCTTAAGATTCCTCGGTTTTGTGTTTAACGGGTCTATATTTGATGTTTTTATATTTTGGGAATATGAGTTTTGGGTTTCTGGTTCAAGATCGATAAATCTCGAGGTGTCTGTTGATTGGTTTCATAGTTTCGATCCACTGAATACGCTATTAGATAGAAATAAATGTCGAATAATGAGTCGAATTTCACAAGTTTCTCGTATTTAACGATAATTTTTCCTCTTTTGGAACTCTTTTGGAAGTAATTCGAGAAGAAAGATTTTTTTTTAATTTTGGCAAGACAGATCTCTTCGGAATTTATTGAGGATGAACCTCGTCCATTGGTGTCGATGATCGGTTGGAAATTCAGGTCTCTAGAGAATTTTGAACTAAAGAATGTCATCTGGCCCCACTGTGCGACGGCGACGGCGATGGCGACGGCGACAGCGACGGTGACGACGGCAGTAGCGGTGGCGGCGGCAGCGGCGGCGATGGTAGCGGCGAATTTTCGGCATGGGTGCGCAGAGTAGCGCATAGCGAAAATCGATATCATTGTCGCAGAAGAGAAAAAACAAAAAAGAAGCGGGGCAGGACGACGTACCGGGGCCGAGGGATAACGTCGAGGCGTGCAGGTTGGCCTCCGACCTCGCTCTGGAGAGGGCGGCGGGGAGATGCGGCATTGGACCGAGGTGAGCAGCGGAGGACGGCGGGTTCCCGGGTAGTGGGCCTAGTCGCAGCTCCAGGCAGGAACTGTCCATGCTGCGGGTCTTCCTCAATTGCGAGCTCATCGTCGTCAGCTCGGAGCCACCGTTTTCCTCATCCTCCGGCCAGAACGACGCCTGCTGGGCCGATCGGCGAAAACGTTAATTCTCCGGAACGGTCGCTCGCCGAGTAACGCGGGATTCCCCGTTGCGGGCGTTTCGGCGATGGAACGCGCCGGGATTCTGCGGCACGTCGGAATGCGCCGCTCCCGAGCGGCGAGGCGCCGCTCGAAAAATCGCGGTATTATAGAGACTGATATCGCGAGGATAGACGCACGAGGGGGTGAGTCTTCGTTCCAGAAAAACTTGGTCGAAAATGTATGACCTCCGCGTGAGACGCGAAATATAGAATGTCGCGGTCCCTCTTCGAGATTATTTTCAAAATCGTTCCCAGAATCTGTTGTCTCCAAAATGACCTTCAAAATCACATTTCACGATCTCGCGACATCGACGACGGTAGACCGAGGGGGTGAGTTTTCGTCGTGGAAAAATCCATCGAAAACTTAGCAGCTTGATACAAAACACGAGATACAGAATTTCACAGTCTCTCTTCGGAATTATTTTCAAAATCATTCCCAGAATCTGTTACCTCCAAAATGACCTTCAAAATCACATTTCACGATCTCGCGACATCGACGACGGTAGACCGAGGGGGTGAATTTTCGTCGTGGAAAAATCCGTCGAAAACTTAGCAGTTTGATAGAATTTCACGATCTCTTCGGGATGATTTTCAGAGTGAATTTTCAGAATCCATCACCCAAAAGATACTTTCCGAACTCATCTCGCGAAAGAGGGACGATGGGGACGACTCGTTATTGTCGCTTCGACCGTCGCGAAGTACGTGGGATTAAGCGACGAGTCACGGAGATCGATCTCCGTCGCTTCGTCGCAGCGTCGATTCGCGTTACACTCACGACTCGCGGTGCGAGCCTTATGCGGGAGGACTCGCGCGATGAATTCCGCCTGCGAATTTACCCTGAGTCTGGAAGCGAACATGTCCTCCACCGACTGGGGCAAGTATTCCCTGGTGGCAGCAACCTCGCGCCATTTATCAACCGAGGGATGAAGCGCGGCCAATGCAACCTCATGAAAACTCGCATAGTGCTTCGCCAAGGAGCATTGTCGCTCCAACACGAAGCCGTATCGTCGTCTCTCCTGAGTCATCGCCTGTGAAAAGAACGCGCAAAGAGCCAGCCTGTTAATGAAGCCGCGCCGTTAATGAATCTCATCGTGTAATCCATCATCCGCATCATCCCCTTCCGCATTTGATAATCGCTCGCGCGTTCGCGCCGCGAGATTTCGCGTTGCATTATCTTATTCTCGTTGCACGGCGACTTTAGAAAGATCGCTGATTAATTACACGGGTGTTGGAGAGCCCGGATTCGGTGCTCCGCCTTGCGTGCTCCTTTGTTTTCCGTAATCACATTTGCCTGCCGGTGTTGCTCAAGAAATCAAGAAATTCGGAGTTGTGCTAACAATTAAACGGCGGAACACCGAACAATAATTCCGAGGAAAGAAACACTCGGGAGACTTAAGCGAAGAACTAACCGCGAAGTTCGAGAGAGACCGAAATTCAGAGAGGCTGAAGAACAGCGGGATACAAACGTTACGCACGAGAAGAAAGATTAGTCGAAAGATTAATCTAACGACGAGCAAAGCGATCGCATTGTCGTCGGAGGAAACAGATTTTCTGAGTTCTCTTACTCGTAGGAGCCAGAAATTCCGTTCGCCTCCGACTGAAATGCGTTCGGTTCGCGTTCATTGTCACGCAAATACAAGCAGATTTTACCTCCTCGTTGAAAGCACCGGTACGCCTGGCAACCCGATTATACCGCATAAGACAATGCAATTGCCGTTTCTTCGCGGTGCGTTACTCACATTCTTCAAGCTTTGCTCGCAGAAAGCGTCGAGCTTGGTCTTCTCCTCCTCGAGGATCTGCATATTCTTCAGCTCCTTGTCCATGGCGAGGCCGCTCTTGTTGGCAGCCCGGGACTTTTTCCTCTGCTTCTTCATTGTCGCGGCAGCCTTGCTGTAGGTTTCAGATCTGGTCTTATGTTGCTGCAGAAACTTCTTCTGTTCGCTCTGTAAGTTCAGCCGGGCACACGCGCAGACACGGTTGCATTATTCATCTTCACCGGAAGTCGGGGCCCCCGGAGCCGGCTAATGCGCCTTCCGGGGATCAGTTTCGGTGATTTACTTACCTGGACGACTTTCGTGTCTTTCTCCAGGTTGGTCTCCAGGGGCACCAGCAGGTCTACGTAGAACGCCTTCAACTAAAACGCAAAACATGAGGAGGGCGAATCGTGCGGGAATAATACACGCACGCGTCTCAGTGGTTTTCGTCACGACGGAATTAGTTTCGGCGATAACGAGGATAACGAGGGCGGTAATAAATTGAGACTTACGACCATTGAACGATAAACGTAATTAAGAGACATTCGGATGTATTCCCGACATTCAGAGCGCCCCAAGAACAAGAGGATTAAGGCGAAGTTCTGCGTACTCGCGGTGAGCGTTAAGAGAACGATGTTTCTTTATTTCTGCGGCGTCTCGAGTTCGCTTTACGCGCGGAGTTAGACGGGCTTTACGAGAAGAGGAAAGACACCCCTCTTCTCTCTCTTTCTCTCTCTCTCTCTCTCTCTCTCTCTCTCTCTCTCTCTCTCCTCTTTCTCCCTTGAGGCAGACCTAATTTATACTAGCTGGAGTAGACCTCGGTTGGATGTACTCCGGCGTAAAACGCCGCAACGACGGCTGCGTCGACGCCGACGTCGACAGCGGCGACAACGACGACGACGGCTGCGGGAGAAAGGCGCACTTTATACTTTTTTATTAGCATCTTGAGAAAGCGGCATGGGAGAATAATAAAAGCAACGCGCGAAATTCCGCCTAATGGGAAAAGAGTGTAACGTAATAAATGTAACGGTGAGATGTAACCGTTGTAATAATGTAACGATGCGATGCAATTGCGGGAGAGAGGAGAGGGGGGATTAAAAGCGTGATAAATCGCGAGTGATGTGCTGCAAGTTAGCTGGGAAATTCCATCCCGCATCCTGAAACCGAACTACCTGCGTGCATGTATCTGCGCGGTAATATACCTTAATTGTATGCCAATCAATTATAATATCTTAATAAACTGCAACATAATTTTCGACATAATTACACGGTAAATATCGCATCACACGCGTTACTGTAAACGCAACAACAAATGCGCGACGCGTGAAAGCTACTGAGATGAGCAGAGAGAAACTCAATTCGACGGAACTCTTCACACGATCGAATACAGGCCGAAAAGTTGAGGAAACTCCGCGGCGAATTCGACATTTTGATTTTGGCCAGCTCGGCAGACGTTCGTTCGATCGCAGCAAAATCTCGACTCGGAAATTCGATTCTACGCGAATCAGGCTCCCCAGGCTCGTCCGGCCTCGATTATCCCTCAAGACACACCTCCCCCCACTCCGCATTCGCAATCAAATCACCGCACCCAGGCCTCCTTCCGGTCAAACACGTCGGGACGTCTGTGAGGTATGATTTTCCAACCGCGATAACGATATGCCTTCATGTTTGCCAGCCACTTCGATCCATCAGCGTATTAAGCCTTTCGCCTCCCCCGCCGCCATCGCCGCCGCCGTTCGCGTTTCTTCGAGAGCTAACCTCTGCCGCCCGCCCGCCCGCCCACCCGCTCTTTCACATCCACCCTTCTCGCTCGCAACCCTATCCGCCTCCCACGACCCCCACGAGTTCGCGTTTCAGGAACAAGTTGTTTGTTTTACAGTTCGAGCACCCTTCGCCTCGCTTTTTGTACGTCGCTCAAAGGCAGGCGGATTGCAGCCGGCCGTTGCTATGGCGGCGGTGCGTGGAAGGAGAGGAGGAAGAGGCGAATCCGTCCTTTTTATCCGCTTTTTTTTCATCTTCTCTCCCCTTGCCCACCCCCTTTCCCACCCCCGTCGCGCGCTGCCGCAACGCGCGAATCTCTACGCACTACGCGAATTTAATCCGCGAGCTTTTAGAGAGTGGCCGTCGATTTTTATTGGGAAATTCGGCGCTCTTTATGTCCGGTTGCGAGCGCAGCCGTTATTCTGGCGGTTCGCATACTTCAAACCCGATCTCGCTTCACCGGCCGTCGACGGAGAATCGCACCGCTTCCGGTGCGCGCTTTTCTGCACGAACTTCCGGCCACGCGAGCGGATATCGGAGAACCGGATTTCGGCCAGCGGAGAAAGACGTCAGAGATGTCGGTTACGAGCTTCTATTTGCACGATATGAAGAAATATAACGGTGCGTGTTCGTAAACATCACAGGGGAAGAATACAGCTGAGCTTTCACGCACGCTTTTCTGAAAGCTCGGTAAAACGGAGCTGAGAAGATCTCGCGGAAGGTTTCCCCCGAAAAATTCGTTTCAGATCCTTGTTTTTGAAGAATATTTTTATATTTTTACACAACATACACGCTGCACAGAGGGAAGAACGCGTAATTTGTTTTTCATAATTTAAATAACAATTTGGATCGCAGCCGTGGTAGAAGAAACATTTCACGTGCGAAAGAATTTGCGCGTTTTCCGAAAAGTGTCGAGGCGGTGTTGAAAAAGTCCCTCGACCGCAGATTAAAATTTCCGCGAGAACTTGGCAGAGAGCGGACCCGAATTCCCCTGCTTATCGATCGATTGCAAGGATACGCGTTCGCCAAAAAGCTGCGAAGTAATGCAAGCTACGTGCGAGTCTCGCCCACTCCGATAACCCCGCCGCCCTCTGCCGGACTTGGCACTCGTCCTTCTCTCTTTCTCTATGTGGTACTTCCTCCGCCCGCTTCTCGAGGACGCGCTCGAGATAATCTTCGTCTGGAGTGCGTTTTTCGCCGACCAATCGTGACGCAGCGCGCATACATGGCTATGTTTCTTTGGAAATTCCCTGGGGAGTCGGAGGTCATCGACCCTCACGTTACCGACACCCCAGATGCCTATTATAAATGCGCCATTTCTTTTTCATTCGGTTAATTATAGGGTAAGTCTGGGATAGATGGGCATAGTTTCTTTAATTTTTAATTTTAACACATCTGTATTGTTGCAATAAATGGTCAACATATTAACACACTCAGTAGAGGATAAGGTATAGAAGAACTTTCATAAAAAAAAAAGAAATTCATGGAACGCCAATAATAACGAAATATTAAAAATATTCTGTGAAGGGGGTAGATGGTCAAATGCCCGGGTTAAATGGTCATACGTGAAGAGAGGGTTGGGCATGCCTGTGATAATGTAGAAATTTGTTTATCTTTATTTATTTTTTTAGTATTTTACATCCTTTTATTAATTATTAATATTTTTATTAATTATCTTATTAATTATTAATAAAATAAAACATTTTCTTCGGTTTCTTGCAGAAACCAAAAGACAACATTGGAGAAAAGATTGAAAAGTGACAACATAGAAAAAGCCCTTTTGGGCAAAATTATTTATTAAAGAGAGAAAAGAGAAAGAAATCTATTCGGCATCTTTAAACGAAACAAGAAGCTGTATAAAATGTACTGAAGTTTTTGATGTTAGGTACCCAGGAAAAAATGATAGTTGAATAGATATCGGATCGACGTCTTTTATCGACGTCTGAAACATCTAGAAAACGTCGATCCGGTGTCCATTGCTTGTTATTTCTGGCTGAGTAGGCTGCTCATCTAACCCTGATAAAAATGAACCATCTATCCCGTTTGAAGAGTTCGCGTAAAGATACGTATACCGCGTGAAAGTAATCTTGGTGACGAATTTTGAGGTGAAGTACGCAAATATGATGTTTTTCTGTCGTTTAAGCCCAGGTCTACTGTTGCAACACAAAATAAACCGTATTGGCAAAGTATTTTTCCGAAACGTGTGAAACATTTTGGAGGTTAATAAAAACATAAAGCATTTATTTACTCACAGTAACAGTGTTTTTGTGCATCAGGAAGAGACACACCTATTCGTGGCATATCTAACTCACAACTAATCGATCAGCATTGACACTTAGCGTATATTAATAACATTATAGCAATTGACCATCTATCCTCTATGTCCATCTATCCCGGACTTACCCTAAATATTATAAATGCAAATAGGAGAAACAACAAAGCTCTATTTCCACTACTTGGCAACTAAGATGATGCGACAGCGGAAAACTTCATCTCTTATCTGAAGTCGAGTAGAACGAGGTATATCTTAGCACAGAATTGTCATTTTTATAATTCAGTTACCACGAGACGGTCTAATCCCAAAAATGATAATATTTGAAAGAGAAATGACACACACACACACACACACACTGGCTTTTTGTCGCTGATGGTAGCGCGCGGTACTCGCGGATCAGCCGGCACAAGCATATCACGAATGTACAGAGGTAATTAACCAAGTTTGCCGGCGTTTTTAGTTGAAAAACATTACGTTACATTTAATATTATTAAAAGTACCGCGGCGGCGGAACAAAAGAGGATGTCCTTAGTTGGCGCTCGAGACAAGTTAGACCGCTGGAGGGACATTTTCGCAGAGAGGCCGGCCGGAATGAAATTGCAAAACGCGATGGCGGAGTGTTCGAGAGAGGGTTGCAAAGTCGTAATAACCACATGTCGTTACGGCCGCAACGAGATTCCATCCTCAAACGGAACGCCTGCGGGGTGTAATGTCGCCTCCGAGCGAAGCAGAGGCGAGCCGCAGGATCAAAGAGGTTTCCGCGGACTTCCGCGTGCCGTAGAACCGTCCTACAGGATGTAACAGGATCAGCAGAGACGATAGCGTGGTATGACGCGGCAACGGGGAGTTTACCCTTTTATATTTCTTGAAGGGGTAGCTAATGGCGAGATATTATGCGTCCCTTCCTTTTCATTTAACCGAGTTCTCAAAAGTGAATCGGATGACGCGAATCCAGTAATATTGTGTCCACAGTGATTAATTTGAATAACTGACACGATTCGTTCATTGATTGCTGAACTTTTGAGGTTGAAATGCTCTGAGATGCGATTTCCCCGTCGAGATTATTAATATTTCAAACGACTACATTTCTCGTCGAAAATGGTTGTAAAATGTTCGCTGACCGAGCAAATATAGATAAACAAAGGGACGTGAGTTTCCTAGATTTCCTAGCTAGATTAGGCTTGGCACTAGACGAAGGCGAAGAGGACATCTTTACGAATTCTGGCAGACGCGACCGGAGACTGACGTAATCTCCGGAAATGGACGGTGCCGGGGATGGAAGACAGACGGAAAAAATGGGAGAGGGAGACAATGCGCTTGCTTTTAGCCGTTCTACAAAGTGCTCCGGAATATTATCCGATCGCGATGAAAAATCTTCCCAAAAAGAGAAAATGTTCAAATATGCAGGAAGATCGATGGGCACGAATATATTACTTGAGTGGCGAGTTATTACTCCTGAATTGTCAAAATCTTGGTAAGTAATAAAAATGACGAATAATGTGGAAAAGAAATTAAAATATTAATAAAATATTATTATAGTCACATCCGAATCCCTCTTCTTAGCTGCAGTTTTGCAATAACAGTTAAAATTATGACATTAGTATTAAAACATATTCAAAAATCGCTTTGAATAAAGACCGTGATTGTATTAACATGTCAGTCAAAATTCGCCTCTCAACGACGATATCAATTTTGTTATTTGTTGCGACATGTTATTATTAACGTATTAACCAAAATGTATTTCTTTCCAGTTATAATCTCCTTTGATTAAAACGCCGAAATATTCAAATCGGAAGATTAAAGAAATTTTCTGCTGTACTTACGATGTTCATCTCCTGCTCCTGAATCTCCTTGTACACCTCGACAATTCTCATCAGTGCGAATCCTGCAACACGAAAAGCGGACCTCGATCAGACGACGATCGTTCTCGCAGGACTCGTCTCCCGTCGCGGGGTCGAACGACCAGAACTTTCGTCCTGAATTATTCAGACGCGGTTGGCATCGCCGATACTTTAATCCAGCAGCGATCCACGGCGCGAGGAGAAAGTGGAAAACGAGGGTGACGTGGGGGCGAGAAGCGCGATAGCTTAAAGCAGGACGTTACGATGCTTGCGGTCGCCAGCCTCGAGTGACTTTCCTGCCGAAAGCTCGCGAAAGCTCACCACGAAAAACAAATGCTCGCACGTCGAGCTCGATCGGGAAAGTTTCCACGGAGGGGGGAAACTTTTCTCGTGGAAAAGTCTCCCATCTCTCTCTCACCCTCACCCTCACCACGAACCACCGGGTCTTCCACTCAAGCGGATTCCACTTTGCTTACCACGAATGAGCTTGCGGATTCCAAGTCGACGTAAACTCGGACGAAGCTCGGTTTCGGTCGACCCGATGTGCTCAGTAAGACTACTTACAAGGAAAATGCTCGTAGGTATCAGAATTGCATTAAGTATGTCGGGAGGATTCACCATGGATTTCACACACTCACCAATATAGTGATGAAGAGGAAAGTCGTGCGCGCGCCGCAACTACTTCTCGAGCAAGCGACAAATTGTAATCAATCGAAATTTCACGAACACCGTCGTGTAATTGGAGAATAGTCTTCTGGCTTCTCCTTTTAACAAGCCAATCAGTCACAACGGTGATTCGGATAATAATAATTGGAAGGAGAGAAAGAGAGAGACAGAGAGGTCTCGCTCTCTCGACAAAGCGCGCAGTTTATCAGCCTTCTTTCAAATGGCTGCATTCGCGAGAGCGTAGCGACGACAATACTATGCTGAATAAACGAACGGTTACTGTAAATAATTTTTCAGGGAGTATATCGCGCGAAACACCCCAGCGCGGTATACTGCACACGAGAGCGAGTGTTGAATAACTTCTCTCTCTCTCTCTCTCTCTCTCTCTCTCTCTCTCTCTCTCTCTCTCTCTCTCTCTCTCTCTCTCTCTCTCTCTCTCTCTCTTTCTCTCTCCCTCTCTCGTATTTTTACATCGCTCTATTTTCGCACGAATAAAAAGAAAACATATATTCCGCTTTCTTTCTCTTTCTCTCTCTCTCCCTCCCTCTCTCCCTCTCTCCCTCTCTCCCTCTCTCCCTCTCCCTCTCTCTCCCTCTCTCTCTCTCTCTCTCTCTCTCTCTCTCTCTCTCTCTCTCTCTCTCTCTCTCTCTCTCTCAGCTTTTCTCTCTTTCCTCCCTTTTCCTTTTTTTCGCAACGCGCGTAGATTTTCCGTTATATACGTACGTTCGCATCGTTTCCGCCGCGGCGGAAAAGCTCGTCTCGATGTAACGCGGGAAGATATCGGCGGCGGCGGCGACGGCGATGGCGGTGGCAGCGGCAGCTTCTCGGTCACGTGCGACAAATATCGCCTAACGCACGTGACGGTGGATAGTGTTCGACGCTATCTCCTATTTTTCCGTCGCGCCGCGAAACGATATCCGCACACCGCGCGATTTTTACTCCCACGTACGCCGCGAATTTTGCATTTTATCGAGCTCGGGCTCGATATCTCGGATACACCCACGGCAGATGTATTAGTCATTCGGCCGCGCCGCACGCGCTCTGTTGCACGGTATACAGGTGCGAGAACACCGCGTTTATTCGCGCTACCGCGTATATTCTTCGAGCATCCGCGACATACCAAGCGGAATTACCGTAACGTACCACTTTGGCCAATTCGTCGTCGATTGTTCTATAACTTCCGTGCATTACATATCGAATATCTCGCTAACATAAAAGCACTAATTAAAGCCTTCTCGGAACAAAGTTGACTCGAATTTACACGAAAAAACTGTTATACTCAAAAAATAATTTCAGAACAAGCGGAATCATCTAAATCTTTTAGAGGATTTTATTCTTATATATGGCCTCAAGAGGATTCTTCTAAGATTAAGAGGAAAATATTATAAACACATTATTCTTAAAGTTAGAGAGATTATATGTATTGTGCATATCTTATTGATTTTAATATAAATTTCCTCTTGTACACAGATTATTTAATCTTTTTCTAAGAGGATTATTATTTATTCTTATTGTATTTTATTCTTACTGGTTATACTAGTTAATTTGAAAGAATTATTATAATATGTAGCGAAATGTAATATATATATACATATGTATATATATATATATATATATATACAGGGTGCACGATTTATCTGAAGACATTGAAATATCTCGAGAACTATGCATTGGATAAAAAAAAGTGGTTAATGAAAGTTGTTAGTCTCGAAGGGGGACATCCAATGATACCAAACTCGACCTCCCACCCCACCTCCTGGGGGTGGGGGTTGGGAGCAACTTTGAAATCTTAAATGGAAACCCCCATTTTTTATTGCAGATACGGATTCTACGCCACAAAATACGTAAATTTTGTCCGAAACTTTTTTTTGATTCGTGATAGATGGCGCTGTAATCGCAAAAAATTATATTTTCCGCAATTCTCCAGAAATGATCATTGAATTGAGAAATAAAAAATACCTGTTCAATATTTTTAAAGAACATAGAGATGTTCAATATTTTTAAAGAACATACATAAAGAACATTTTTAAAGAACATTTTAAAGAACGCCAGATTTCTTTCTGTGGGGTTACCTAAAAGATAAGGTTTATCAACAAGTGCCAACAACTCGTGAAAACATGGTAGAACGCATAAGAAACGCTTGCGCTGAAACTCCCGCAGATATGCTTCTATCCTGTGTACAGTCATTTGAGAAAAGGATCAATAAGTGTATTGAAGTTGAAGGTAAAAATTTCGAACACTTACTCTAATTAATTGAACAGTGAGAGGCAAGGGGACTCACATTAAAAAAGCACCCCGATCTGTGAGAGTCAAGGGGACTCACATTAAAAAAGCATCCGAAGGGAACATAAAACTACTACGTCCTCGTAGTATTCGCCATTTTTCGAGTGCGGTTTGTTATAATTTGTTAATTAATTAATTTTAATCTACTGTACCTTGCTAATCACCACGGCGCTCACGCGTCAAGTATTGGGTTGGCAACTAAGTGATTGCGGATTTTGTCGACAGATGGATTTTACACTTTCTTTTGTTTCGTTAACGTGTTCAAAATACCTAACCTATATTTTTTTCTTATTGTTTGGACTTCTACCTTTCATTTAGTACAAAAATTATATCGATTAGTTCTTTAGTTTTGTTTTTATCTCAATTTAAAAATGTAAGAGCAAGACGTGCACTTCAGACATATTTTATTGTATTATTTCCGAAAAGGCAAGAACGCATCGCAAGCACACAAGAAGTTATGTGCCGTATATGGGAACGAAGCCTTGAAAGAAAGGCAGTGTCAAAACTGGTTTGCCAGATTTCGTTCTGGTGATTTTTCATTGAAAAATGCTCAACGATCTGGCCGTCCAGTTGAAGTCGATGAGACCCATATCAAGGCCATTATCGATTCAGATCGTCATAGCACAACACGTGATATTGCAGAGAAGCTCAATGTATCGCATACATGCATTGAAAAAAATTTAAAAAAGCAAATTTAAAATTTTGAATTTTCATTCTTATTTAAAATCCGCAATCACTTAGTTGCCAACCCAATATTATCAGTGCTCATCAAAGCGGTGATGTTTTTTTGATTATTTCGCCAACCGTCCTACACACGCACTGTTTCGCCTTTCATGAAAGGATGTTTAAGTCACGTGAGAGCGTGCGACAGGAAAGTCCATAAAGATGCTGCGGAGACACCGTAAAGATACTGTAAAAAGTGTTAACGATCGCAACCGCGGGGGATTCACACGGGTGGTTTTCGTGGTCGAGAAAGCCGGGGTGGCACACAGCTGGACACGCCGCGTTCTTTTCCCAGGGTATCGGATATTCACGGGGGGCGCGTCCCTTTACGACGCCTTAAATTCCCGCCGCAACAGCGCTGGAGCCTAAAGAAGGATCCTCGCGGATGAGAGCTTGCAACTTTTTTGCCCACGCAACGCGTTTGCGGCACGTCGATCTGATCGTTCGCCGAGAGAGTTTATTTATCAAACGACGAGACAGCCGATACATATCGGGGCTGCGCACGTACGATACAACGTTTTTATCATATCCCTTCGTTTGCCGCGCGTAACACTCGGCTGAACTTCAACAATATGTTTCATTAATCGCGCCGGCAAGACGATATCGCGTTAAATATTGAGCGCGCCGCGCGAGGTATATGTGCATACATATGTGTTTGTGTGTGTTTCCTCTTTCCCGGGTAAAATTGCCTGAACCCGTATAAATCGCCATTCGCTTTTATCGCGGTTTCTCACGCGGAAATGTTTTCTAGATAAACTTCCGAGAGGACGCAAGTTTTGTCTGCGCCTAGGCACCGCCGCGCGATGATGGACCGCTTTTTTTCCGCCAAGTCACGCGCGCACGTTTTACGGTTCTCGTCGCCGGCGCGAGTTTCGGAATAAATAATTTTACGGCGCGCTCTCTTTCGCGGCCGTCGACGGAACTGCATGCGGAAGGTTCGCTTTCTCCATGGAGGTCTCGAGCAAGCGCGGATAAAGTGAAGCGAATGTCTTTACTCATAAAAGGAAATCCACAAATTTAGAGCTCGTTGCAAACTTTCGTGTTTAGAGGCCGTTCCCCCGGAAGGGATAAGCCTATTTTTCGTCGATAATCGGACCAACACGAAATAGCGAAAGTTCGGGATAGATGGGCATAGGGGATAGACGGTCAATTGCTACAGTTTTGTTGACATATGCTAGGCGTCAGCGCTAATCGGTCAGTTGTGAATTGGATGCACCACGAGTGGGTGTGCCTCTTCCTGATGCACTGATGACAAAAATGCACTCTTATTGTGAGTGAATAAATGTTTTATGTTTCTATTAACCTCCAAAATGTTTCACACGTTTCGGAAAAATACTTTGCGAATACGGTTTATTTTGAGTTGCAACAGTAG